GTCCAGTGCTCATGCTGGGGGCGCTTTTGGTTTCTTAGGTACCCTGTCATCTTTTTCTTAGTTTTCTCAGATTGCCTTCTGGGAAAGAGTGCATGGGAAATACAGTTTTTAGGGTCTGTGTCTGAAAATTTCTTTTATCTCTTTGCTTTTTCCTTTCCCTTTCTGTCTGCCTCTATCTCTTTTTACTGAAGACTGAATTTAAATTTTTTTTTTTTTGTACTGATCAAACTCGGGACCTCATGCTTGCCAGGCAGGCACTGTGCCACTGAGTTATGTTCCTGGCCAGAATTCAGAGCTTTTGTATTGAGCTACATTTCCTGCCCTTCTAAAATTTTTGTTTTAAGATAGGATCTTGGTGGGCTTGAACTTGTAATCCTCCTGCATGAGCCTCCCAGAGTGATGGTATTACTTGAATTTCTTTATTCTGTTCTCATAGTAGATTGATGACTGGCTGGAATTACAATTATAGGAGAAAAATGATTTTTCATCAGAACTTTGAAGGCACACACTACTGTCTGCTTTTTATTGCGGCTTTTGAGGTGTCTAAAGCCATTTTGATTCCTTGCCTTTACTGTGTGATCTGTTTTTTTTTTGTTTTTTCTTTTTTTCTGGTACCGGGGATCGAACTCACGACCTCCTGCTTGCAGGGCAGGTGCTTATGCCACTGAGCTAAATCCCCAGCCCCTGTGTGATCTGGTTTTTTTTTTTTTTTTTTTTTTTTTTTTTTTGGTGTGTGATCTGTTTTTAAGACCTCTTTGTCCTCTGTGAAACTGAAGATGTGCCTTCATATGTGTGAGTTTTCAACTACTGTGTAAGCACCTGGTGGCTTCGTTCAGTCTGGAGAACTCATGTGAATCAGTTTAGTAATTAATAAGCTTTCCTGCATTACTCCTGAAGATCGCCTTTTTTCTAATTTCTCCTTGTTTTTTTAACACCAGTTTCAGTTTCTAGGCATTTTACTCTAGTCTGGGAGAGTTCTGCAACTTTGTTTTCACTTATTTTTCCATTTTTAGTTTTTGGTACTGGAGGTTGAGCTCACGGCTTGGCACCTGCCGGGCAAGCCTTTATGCTGCTGAGCTGAATCCCCAGCCCCTACGTTTTTATTTCTAAGAACCTTTTCCCCCTTGTCTCTGAATATCCTCCCGATACCCTTTTCAAATAGCATTCTTTTTTTAGATGCAGTGTTCTGCATGTTGGATTTTTTTGGATTGTTTGTTTTGTTTTTATTTTGATATATTTTCTTCCATTCTCCTTGGCCAGTTTCCATTTAAGTTATTTGCCTTTGTTTTAAACCCATTTGATTTTCTAGAAGTCCTGGGGTCCTTGGGACCTTGTCCAGATATCTGGCAGTCACTGATTGTTAAGAAGAGGCCTGAAGAGCCCGGCGAGGACGAATCTCGCTGGCATGGGCCTCACTGAGCAGGGTGTTGGCTCAGCTGTTCTGCTGAGGCAGCTCCACTCAAGCCCAAGTGCCAGCACCGTTAGGACTTTCCTCGGGCTGGTCAGATTTCCATCAGTGGCTGTTCCCTTTCTGTCCCGAGGAAGGAGTGGCTGGCACTGTCCTGGGAACTGTGTGGAAAGAGGGCTTGTTTCCCATACGTGCACTTGCTCAGTGTCCCTGTCCTTGGTTTCTCTGCTCTCAGCTGGCCCAATGCCTCCCAGTCCATAGCTTGCTGTGGTAACTTCTTCAGAGTAACAAAAAATTGTTGGTCATTTGGAGAAGGGGATGAGACTGAAGATGTTGCATTGCTACTTGAACAGCTTTTGAACAGGCTTACATTGTATCCTTTCTCCTGTGGCATCCGATTTTTGCCAGTTCTTAAACCATGAGGATTCTGCAGGATGAGGTGGGTGGCCCTGGACAGTCCTAGCCTCTTTGTAACGTTTGTTTTCTTTCTCCTGTAGATCATTGAGGGCAGCGTCAAGGCCCACTTCATTATGAACGATCCGGCAGGAAACAGTTACCTGCAGGTAAGGTCCCCCTTCCCAGTGTTCGTGGAGAATCAAGTTTTTGATCTTCCTCAAACATATTATCCCCAGAAATGGAGGGATTGGGGCCGAATGGAGCGCTCTCCATCAGGGAATTTCTGGGAGAAGTTAGAGGAGGAGGGAGAAAGGAGGCAGGGTGGGAGGGATTTTAAGTGTGTGTGAAGAAGGAAAAGCAGCATCCCTCTGAGCCTCTTTGTTTCTGTACTCAAGCTCTAGAGTTTTCATTCCGCAAGTCTGACTGTGAAATGGGAAGAAGTGGTATCCTGTCCAGAGGCTGAGACAGGAAAACCGAGAGGCTTAAGCAGACGGAAGAGAGAGTCTAGTGACTGATGTAACTGTAACATTTGTCAGGATTTACTGTGGGTGAAGTAAATACACAAGACAGTTGTCACACTTTTCTTAAGAAAAGTGCACTTATAAAATGCTTTAGGATAACCGATAACTATTCCCTGATGCTGTCCTAGTCTGTTCTCCCCACTGGGTCAGCCTGGCCCTGGGAAAGAGGGAACAGAACTCACTGAGTTCCCGGGAAAGTAGCGGTCGGCAGCTGCCTTGGGCGGGGGAGCGGCGGGATGGCGCAGGCACTGACCGTGTTTGCCCTTGGCCTTGCAGAACGTGTATGCACCTGAAGATGATCCAGAGATGAAGGTGGAGCATTACGAGCGCACCTTTGACCAGAATGAGGAGCTAGGGCTCAATGACATGAAGACGGAGGGCTATGAGGCAGGCCTGTCCCCGCAGCGGTAGCGGGCTGCTCCTCGCTGGTTCCAGTGCTGCTCATGCCGCAGGGCTGTTTATTACTGTGGAGTGAAGCTGGGAGTGTCCTCCCTCCCTTCCTCGTGGTGGGGAGCACCCCTGGCTGGTGTCAGAGATCTAGGAAGACTTTCTAAACCACTTGTGATGCAAGTGCAAGCCTGTTGTGTTACTTGACCTTATTTTGGAGGTTTCTAATTGGTCTGGGAAGAAACCCAGAAATGAACCGTGCAGCCTGTCGTCACCCTTTTCTGTCGACTCTTCACCTTCCCTGCAGTGTTCCGTCCTCTGGGGTTGGAACTCTGAAGCTGGCAAAGATGAAGAAGAGTTAAAGGTGGGGTTGGGAGTTGGTTTGGGGCATACAGAGTCCTGTCTTTCCGAAGGAATTCTGAGTGGAAAGGTCCACACAGGTGAAGAAGTTATTGTATGGGTTTCAGGCAGCACTGGGCTCTCAATCACTGTCTTGTTAAACATCATGCTGTTGGAGTTCAGCCTCCTAAGGAAAATTTCCCCAGTGTGACCACTATGTGGGCATTGGAGCTAGCATTTAACTCAGTTGTTCAACAGGTGTTTGCTGCCTGCTTTATGCCAGGCACATCACAGAACAGTGCGCAAAATAAATCTGCTTTCATGGAATTTAAAAACTGGGGGAGAGAGTGAAAAGATAAGCAGAAGAGTGTGTCAGGTGTGATTCAGTTACAGAGAAATGAAAGGCAAGGAGATATAGGTGGTGGTGGGGAGGAGAGGCTGGGTGTTTGAACTGACTGGGCGCGTCAGCGAGGAGCACATTAAGGTGGCACTGTGACATTTAGGCAGAGCAGTGGAGGAAGTCAGGGAAGCGTCCTTTACCCATGTAGCCAGAGGAAGAGATTTCCAGGCATTGAGCTGCAAATGATGCTTTTTCTGTCTGAGAAGCTGGGGACTACCTGCTGTGTGCTAGGACGTGAGGGGCCAGGGCTCAGAGCTCAGCCTGCTGTGCTGGCTGCCGGTGTGTGTGCAGTAAAGGCCACGTAACTGAGGTACTATCAAGATGACTTGGCAGTCATGTATTACTCTTACACCAAGGTCTCAAGGTATTTTCTACTTGGAAAATGTTGTCATTGTTAATAGTGTGTTTCTCTTGAATTCATTGTACTAGCTTTTGTACCCCTTTCCTCAGTTCTTGATTTTCTTTTCACCTTGATCATTCCGTATTTGCAATCTGCCACCTCTGTTCCTCAAAAGTATTCATTTCCTAAGATTCTCCTTCCGTGTACCTGTCCATCTTGGATTGTTTAACATCTTACTATCATTTAGGGCTAGTTCCCTTACCTGTGCATCTAATTTTTGTTAAGGTGTTTCAAGAGTAGGTGTTTTAGTCAGGTGTAGTGGTGCACCCCTGTAATCCCAGCACTTGGGAGGCTGAGGCAGGAGGATCCTTAAGACCAGTCCTAGCTACAGTGCGAGCTCAAGGCCAGCCTGAACTGCATGGCAACATCCTATTTCAAACACACACTCAAAAAGAATAGGTATTTCAAAAAGTTGAGAGACTTGGGTTAGCTAGGAAGTCATAAACTTTAAAGCTACAGGACTAATTAGACTTATGTGTGGATAGTCCATTTTAAGACTTGAGACTTTGTTCCTGACTCGAGAATCTGAGTTTATTGAACAGCTTTCTAATCTTTCATTTGGTCTTTTGAATGGGTTTTCCCAGAGGGACATTGGCTTTATGAAGATGACCCCTGATGCTGGGTTTCCCATTATGAAGGAACAAAATGGTACTGTTTTATAACTGCCAGACACTCTCCAGTTACCAGGAAGTGATAACCTGAGTTTCTGAAGCTGCACAGCCTGAGGACTAGAGCCAGAGTGGGAATAACCCAGCAAAGGTGATTTCTGATCTTTGACAGGGCCAGGGCCTGGGATCCTTATTTCACAACATTGTCTTGAAGCATTTCTCAACTCATTCTCATTTCTCAAAGCTTGTTAGCACGGGAGCTTGTGTCTGGTTAGCTGTCGTCCCCTACAGTCCCTAGCGTATGGTATATGGCTAATAAAACCTGTTGTAAAGTACAAAATTGTCCCCAGATTATGGATCATCTGTTTTGGACAGAGCCCTGTTAAGGCACTGAAAGTAATGTATGTAGGTAATAAGGTTAAAAAAAAGTCCTGCTCTATGGTTAGGGAAGGTGAGACAGTCAAAAGTGCTTGCCTGAGAACACGGAGATAGTTCTAGCTTTGCAAATAAGATTGAATTAGAAAATTTTGTGATTATACTATGAGTTCATTTCTAAGATTGTGCCTCCTGCTTAAAGCTTCATTACCAAGCTTGGTAATACACTAGCCCTGTGAACCACAGGTAGGTGTTTGGATACACATACACCTGTCACGGTGAGAGATGGGGCAGCTGACCTGGAGGACTCAAAGCTTTGGTTACAGGAAGACTTGTTATAACGCTCTCCCATGCTGTGTACCTGTGGCCTGTCAGTGGTCTGTTGGCACACTGCAGGAAAGGGAGCCTGTACTTAGATTTAGTGCAGTGGTATTTAAAACTCCTTGGCTTTATTCTCATTTTAAAAACATTTTATATTCCTTACAGCACATGACAGTTTTCATCTGTGAAGAGAACAGAGCTGTTCCTTAGGTGTCCACAGACTTTAGTTGGGCATCGCTAATGCCTCTGTTTCCTGGTTTGTAAAATGGGATCACTAGTGGCATCACTTGTAGAAATTTTGTGAGGGTGATGTTGGGAAGGGATCTGTGAAAATTTCTTGCAGAATTCTCACAAAAAATTCTGAAGTGCCTGTTTCTGCTTTAAATCCTTTCTGGGAAAAATTTATAAGTTATCCTCATTTTGTAATAAGGAAATAATAAAAAGAGGCTAGGTAATTTCCAGAAGGAAATATAGTTACAGAGCAGGCTTCAAACCCAGCCCAGCTCTGGGTGTTTTGAACTCAAGCCCATAATTACTATACATGTTATAGCAACTCCAGGGAAAGGGTAAAGCTCAGGCTATCCGCTGAGCACATGCTCATCTGATTCTGCCTACCTGCTCTTCGTGATGGAGTTGGGATGTGGTTTGGGTAGTGTCAGGCTGAGGCCCTCAATGGGGGAATAAAACTGAAGGTGGACAGTTAGGAGTTTGGCCAGTGGGGGCCAGTAAGCTTGTACTGATGTTCACTGGGGCGCAACGATGAACCTTCCTAACTGCCCATTGACACCAGTGTGAAGTAGAAACCAAGTCAGGGTTACTTACTGGACACCTGTGGAGTCCTCCAAGTGGAAAAACCCTGTTTTTCACCCAGTGTGTACCTCTCATAAGCCCTTGGAGATAGTACACTTTTGTTTTCTTGGCTTGTGCTGCAGCCAGTGGTTAAAAATTATGTGCAGTGGTAGAGCACAAGATCCTGGGTTCACTCCTCCGCACTGAAAAAATGCATGCTTCAAAGCTGAATTTTGTATGTAAGAATCTTTGAGCATATATCCCAAGGTATACAGTACAACAATGACTATTTGAAAAATATACTTCAAGGGGCTGGGGATTTAGCTTAGCGGCATAAGCGCCTGCCTTGCAAGCAGGCAGTCGTGAGTTCGATCCCTGGTACTGGTAAAAATACAAAAAAAAACAAAAAACAAAAAAACAAAAAAAAAAAAAAGGAAAAAAAATATACTTCAAATTGGCAGTGTGCATGTTTTCTCATTGATAAAGTAAGGATAATAAATCTATCTTAAAATTGTAAGATGAAACTATTAAAACTGTTGCCTCGTCCCCCAGTTTTCTCCTCCAAAGTTTCAATACTGGAATTGTCTCTAGCTTCCTGTTATGCTGCAAACAAATCTGTGACCATTTCCTTGGGAACGTTTTACGTAAGTGTCCTTCAGTAGGTAACTTTGGGGATGTCAGCAATATCAAGTGCGAGGAAGTTACAGATTTGAGAAACCTACAGCTTGTCATAGTCATTGGATTTGGCATTCGTGACTTCCTGTCTTGAGTGTAGAGAAAGCTATTCCCATCCATCTAAAGATGTTTATATGGATTTTTAAAAAAAATGAGTGGTACAGTAATCTCAGTCTTTGAAACCATCCCAAGTTAGGTGCCATTTATTATTCTTGTTTGTTTAAAAAGAAAAAACCTCACTAGAGATTGTACAGCTAGAGAATATATGGTGCATGCCTGTAATCTCAGCACTCTGGAGACTGGCTGGAGGATCGCGAGTTGTAGGCCCGCCTGGGCTACACAGCAAGTTTAAGGCCTGCCTGGCCTACAGAGGAGACCTGTTTTCAAAAAATCAAAACCAACCAAACAAAACCCGAGTCTACTTTGTGTTTTACACTGGCGATCTGAAACTGCTAAGGGCGTGGGACTTCTTTGGGTCAGCTTGTACAGCGTCAAGAACCTTGGACGATGGACAAAGAAGAAACGTGATTGCCTCGTCGTCAAATGCAAACCGGACGGCGGAAGTACGAACACGTTGCGAGCTAATCTCACTAGTATTTCCGCCGCTTCTGAGCAACCTCCACCACTTCCGCCTCTGGCCCCGCCCATGCCACTGTCCACTTCCGTTTCGCGTTTAAGAATTTTTGTCCCCAAGGCCGAGCCGTCTTCCCGCCTTCCTTGCTGCTATGGCGGCAGCCCCGCCGCTCTCCAAGGCCGAGTACTTGAAACGTTACCTGTCCGGGATGGATGCCATCGTCGACGGGGGACCCGCGCCCGGTCGCAAGCGGCGCAAAAAGCGGCCGAAGCCTGAAGGGGCCGGCGGTAAGGGGTGAGTTGGTCCGGGCGGGGGCGGGGCCGTGGCGGCTCGCCGCCCCTCTCCCTTCGAACTCCGCCCTCGGCTGCGGGCTTTGCTCTCCGGGTGGGTCAGGCTCCTTCCCCTGCTTGCTACACCGACTCTGCCTCGGCCATTCTTCCGTTCATAGCGCTCCAGGCTCCTGCTTACTGTTGCTGTCTCCACTCTTCAGGAGGGGAGCCTCTGAGCAGCACCGTGTGTCAAAGCCAGGCTGTAACTTTCCTTACTTTCCCCCCACTTTTGTAGACTTTGTCCTCTCACAGGGGTAGACTTTCGGGCCCCGAAAATAAGGAATGCAATTCAAAGCCTCTGTGCGCAGATTTTTAGGGTACAGAATCAGCCCCTGCGGCTCCCAAATTCAGGAACTCAGATCCTTAACCAGAGATGCATGAACGTGTCCTGTGACTGTCACTTCTACTGTTGCTGACCATAACAGCTAACATTGATACAGCTCTTGTCGTGTGCCAGCGTCCTTTCTGAGGACTTTGACTATACATGAATTTATTAAAACGTCCCAATACCATGAAATAGATATTATCGTTCCCATTTTTCAAATGAGAATACTTAACAACTCAGTGTCCTGAGTTGAAAAGTGCTCTCCTTCCCCAAATTCCTGCTTATTCAGAATTTCAGAATGATATTATCTGAAAATAAGATCTTTGTGGATGTAACTGGTTAAGATGAGATCATACTTGATTAAGGTGGGTACTGGAGTTAATATGACTGTGATTGTCCTTATAAGAAGGAAAATTTTCACCGAGAAAACTGCCATATGTAGGTGGAAACTGAGTTAGATTCATGCTGCTGCAGATAAGGTTTCCCTGAGCCACCAGAGGCAAGAAGCTAAAAGAGGCAAGGAAAGAGCCTAGACAGGTGGTACAAGGGTGCAAGTTCGTAATGTTATAAAACTATGAGGCTGAGGCAGGAGAATGACAAGTTCAATCAAAACTTGAGCAATTTAGTGACTTAGTGAGACCCTGCTTCAAAAAACAAAACAAAAACACAAAAAGCACCAACAGGCTTTTTATGGAGCATGGCCTTGTAGATACCTTGATTTCAGTTTCTACCCTCCTAAACTGTGAGAGAATATACTTCTGTCATTTGAAGCCACTCAAAGTGAGGTACTTTTTGTAGGCAGCCCTAGGAAACATCCAGTGCTGAACAGTAGTGTTTGTATTTGTCTTAGTTACTTTTCTATCATTACTGAAACAAAATATCTGACACCCAAAGTTAAGGAGGAGAAGTTTACTTAGCTCACAGTTTATAGAGGTTTTAGTCTGTAATGGGCTGGCTCCAAGGCAGGTGGCACATGGCAGTGGGACAACAGTTTATGGTGGCCAAATACAGCAAAAGCAATGAGAGACAGAGGACAAGTCTCTTTTCTGTCTCTTTTGCAGGGTATGTGCCCTTGGGTAGTATAGTACTCATAGCCTTAATCCTAGCATTGAACCATGAGTCAGTCACAAACTCAGATTCAGCCATTTCCCCAGCCTGTTCCATATCACTGCATAAGGCACATCTCAGTATGAACCATAACATTGTGTTCCTAGCTCTCCCAGAGACTCATGTACATTCCTTTATGCAAAAGATATTTAGTCCATCTCCAAGAGTTACCAAAGTCCTAGCAGTTTCAGCATTGCTGAATAGTCCAAGTTAGTCTTCTCTGAGATTTAAGACATACTCTTAGCTGTGAGTTCCTGTACAAATGAAAAGAAAGACATTTCTAAAATTCAGTGGCACAAGATAGACATTTCCGTTCCAAAAGTTACAAACAGGGATACAAAGGAATGGGACCAGAGCAAATCCATAATCTAGCAGGACAAGCATTAAGTCCTATAGTTCCATGTGCAGCATCTGAGACAATCTGTGGGAAGTGGTGAACTCCAAAGGACTTGGGTGGCTCTGCCCCTAGGGCAGTTCCACTGCTTGTAGCTCCCTTGGCTTCTCTGTTGGATCCACTCTGCTCCTCCTTGCAGTTTTCCTCAGATAATCCATGTTCTTGGCTTCTCCAAACTTTGGGGTCTCCACTGCATCTTTGCTTCACACTGAAAGCTTTGCACACTACTCTCTTTGGGGCACATTGCCTGACCTCCCAGGTCTTCTGAAATCTGATAGAAGTCTTTCTTACCCACAACTCTTCCATTCTGCATGCACCTAAAACCAGTGTCGTGTGGATGATGCCAAGATCTGCTGCTAACTGGAGCATTAGTCAAGCATCCCTCTCTTTAAGCTGTAGGGGTCAATTGCAAGGATCACTGGGCACTCTGAATCCAATTCTGAGGAATTTATGCTACCACCATCCTGAAACATGGTGCTGTGGGGCTTTCTTCTCAAAGCGATCTTTTATTTTTGTAGTTTTGAGGCTATAAAGAGTGGAGTCCTGCTGCTGCTTGTGATGCCCCAGGCCATCTTTTGTATTCTGTTTTTAGCAATCAAAATCTCTTCTCTGTCTTTACAGTCCACAGCTTTATCAGAACTTCCTTTCTGAACAAACTCACAATGTTTTAAATCATTCTTCTGGACTCTTTGCTCTTGATTCTCCACATAAATATGGCTAAAAGGCCCCAACAGTAGCTATGCTACCATTTCAATATTAGACTGCCTTGAAATTTCTTCTACCAGATTTGTTAGTCCGTGTCTTAGTTATTTTTCTCTTGTTGCTGGGACAAAATACTCCACACCCAAAATGAAGGAAAGAAAGATTGATTTATGTTACTGTTTGTGGTGGTTTCAGCCTGTAGTCAGCTGGCTCCAAGGCAGGGTGGCCTGGCAGAGGGGCAACCCTTCAAGGCAACAGCTAGCAAAAGCAGCCGGAGGAAAAGTGGGGAGAGCAAGCCTCTTCTCCTCCCTTATATTGTACACAGGCCACTCCCCTCTCCAAGTGGATGTAGTTAGCAGGAAATCTCTGGCCCTCTTGTTGCACAGGATGAGGAAATCTACAAAGAGAGGACTCTGGCTCCCTGCTGAGTTTCTCAGACTTCTAAACATCTCAAATTGACACAGTGTCTCAACCATAACAGTCTGCCACTCTTAATCTTAGTCTCAGGCCAAGTCCCACATAAACAAAATGCAGATAAACTTTCTGCCTAACCATAACACACATTGGAGTCCAAAAACCAGTGTAGTCTTCTTCCCAGCAAAAACCTGGTGCCTGGTCTTTACTAGCTGGGTTTTTATTAGACTTCTGGTCTTCTGTGTTTTGACCAGAATCGCTCACCTTAAGGTGTTTCAGTGCTACTTTTTCAACTGGGATCTCCAAACCTTTCCAAAAACCATTTCCAAAGGCTCTTGAACCACATGATCAGGTATAGTCACAGCAACCACCCCACTTCTCTGGTACCATATTGTGTCTTAGTTTTTTTCTCATTGCTGAGACAAAATACCTGGAACCTAAATTAAATAAGGAAAAGTTTGTTTAGCTCCAAGTTTGTGTAAGTTTTAGTCTATAATTGGCTGGCTCCATGGCAGGGGGGTTAACAGTTCATGGTGAAGGAGGACAGCAAAGGCAACAAGAGAGGACAAGCCTCTTTGTGTCTCTTGTAGTGCTACCTTCCCTAGGGTGGGGGTAACACTCACAGCCTTAATCCCAACATTGTACCATGAATCAGTCACAGACTAGATTCATCCACCTCAGAGAAGCCTATCTATCCCTCATGACTACCTAAAGTTTTGGGAGGACATGTAGACACAGACCATAACAGTATTAAATGCTTGGTTGTGATCAGAGATGTTTTAAGTTCTTCTAGCTTTTTATATAACTTTATTCATATAACATTCGTCCAATAACAAAGATTTATTGAATACAGTCACCCCTCAGTAATTTAGGGATTGGTCCCTGAATTAGAATGTGGATCCTGGGGTTTCATATATAAAATGGCATGGCACTGGTATATAACTCATGTTCATCTTCTAAATCACGTTTAGATTATTTATAATACTTACCACAATATAAATGCTCTGTCAGTATTTATACTGTATTATTTGGGGAATAATGACAGAGTCTGTACCTGTTTAATGCAGATACAGTTTGTTCCCTCTGAATATTTTCAGTCTGTGGTTGGTCGAATCTATGCATCAGAAATCACGGATGTGGGTGGCTGACTACTTTCCATGCTAGTTATGGCAGGATATCAAGGATGCCTCTCTGAACAAGAATACTTACTGCTTTTTTGATGGAGCTTATAGTTTAATAAGCTTAACACAATTAATTGTATAACTAGTTGATTTAATTGTTCTGTGATAGATACAATGAAAGTATTCCAAGAGTGTGCTGCTGCAGGGTTCTTTATCCTGGGATTAGGGAGAGGGTAGGCAAGGAAAGTACAAGGAATTTATCATATTTATGCTAGAACCTGAAGGATGAGTAAGAATCTCCTGATAAAGAACGAGAGGAAAAGTAGATCAGCAGACTGAAGGAGCAAACTGATGTGGTAAGGAGCTTGACTCATTCCAGGCCCCCAGAGCTGACCGTTGAAGGTGAACTGAGAGGGGAGTGGTGTGGGATGAGCTTGTTCCTATAAACAAAGACCGGACCGACCAGGACTTTTAGTGTCACCTTTAAACCAATATGTAAGTGTTCTTTTCCTTTTTGATCATTTTATTGTTCCCATTTAGAATGCGGATTGTTGATGATGACGTGAGCTGGACAGCTATCTCTACCTCAAAACCAGAAAAAGAGGAGGAAGATGATGGGGATTTGCCTGTGGTAGGTATCTTTTGGATAGTCCTGTTGTCAGAACTTTGAGATGGCTCAAGCTTCTCAGTCTTGACTTCCAGTGCATAAATTTGTAAGAGGAAGAGCTGAGCACAGAGAAGTGACACCTTTTAAAGAGCTGTTTTCTTTCATGATACTTATACAGATGGTCTTGACTTGATGGTTTAATTTTTGATTTTTTAATTTGTATTTTACAGCAGTGTGAAAGAAATATGTGTTCAGGTGAAACTGTATGCATGTATAAAACATGGTCTCACTCCCTACTTCAGGCTGTCCTGGAACTCACTCTGTAGCCCAGGATGGTCTTGAGCTCAAGGTGATCTTCCTGCTTTAGCTTTCAACCACCAGGATTGCAGGCCTGCCCTACCATTCCTGGCTGATCCATGTTGGGCATATTAAACACATGTTTGCTTGTGATGTTTTCTATTTATGATGATTTTAATGGGTATATCCCCACCATAATGTGAGGAATATTCATTGGTTGATATCTCTGTGTATGGAGGGATCTGTCAGTGTGCAAATCAGAACAAAGACAAGATGCCTCAACACGGTGACTGAGCCATGATTAGAATTATTCATGGTTCATTTTGGTGGAATCTTCCTTAAAAACAATGTTTGAGTTTAACTGAAAGGAACTTTTTTGTTTTTTTTTAATCAATACTGAGGATCGAACTCAGGACTATGTGCTTGTAAGGCAGGCATTTATGCCACTGAGCTAAATCCCCAGCCCCCTGAAAGGAACTTATTAAGAACCCATTTTATCCTTTGATTTAACTGAGCTTTAAAATTGTATGCTTGCCAGGGATTTAGCTCAGTGGCCTGGCAAGCACAAGGTCGTGAGTTCAATCTCCAGTACCGCAAAAAAAAAAAAAAATAATGTATACTCTTTTAAGATTTGGAGATGAATAGATATGAATAAAAGATACTATCTGTGCTCTGGTGGTTATACCCCAGAACAAGAGAACAAATTTTAAATAATTTCAACAATAAGATAAAGTTTGAAGATATATTCCATGTATGCTTCAAGTGTTTTAGAGTACAGGAGATTTTGATGTTTTCCATTGTTTTATTTGATATTTATAGGATAAGAGTACACACATTTTATATATTGTGGGTGTGTTTTGTCATTTGCCTTTTCACTTATTACAAATTTTGATCTTTTAGAAATTTTAATTTTTATATAATCAAACCTATTAATTTTCCTTTGCAATACTATCTTTTGCTTTTGTGATGGTCCAAAACCCTAAACAAAAGAGGCTTTAGGTCTATTGCTTTCGGCAGTGATTAAAATTGATCTTGAATATTGAGTACATTATCGTTATGGCAAAATTACCATAATCACCAAAGTAATGATGAAAAAAATAATTATGATAATAGTTGATCTAACAATAACTAATAAGTTTATTTTGTTGAGCATTTATCATGTATCAAGCACTCCTAAGCTTACATGAATAGTATCATTCAATTTTCATGGCAGTCCTTTGAGTCTGACTTTTACAATGAAGAAACTAAGCTTAGAATGATTTGCCAAAGGTCACACAGTTCTGATTGGCAGAATTGGGGTTTTGGATCTCAGTTCATCGTATGTGAAATCCTATGCAGTGCCCAGAGGGAGATCTCAGAAGTAGATTGTGTGAAGACTGATGATAAGATATTGGGAGAATAGAAGTGGTAGAGGGGACTTAACTTGGATTTGAATTCCAGAGTTTTGCAGCATGAGAGCTTGTGACATTGAGGAAACTATTTAAATTCTCTGAGTCAGTTTGCTGGTAAATAAGTACCTTACAGTCTTTTTTTAGGGGGGGGGGATTGTTGTGAGGATTGAGAGATAAAAAGTAAGGGACAAAACGCAGTAACACAGTTGCTACTCTGTAACTAGAATTTATTATGCCAGGCATCTTTGAAAGTGTCATGTAGAAAGGGGATCTTTTGTATTAAAGGTCAGAATTAGGATGGAAGGAAAGACGTTATAGGAAGGTAAACATGAGTCCAGTAGTATTAAGACATTTTTAGCACTGCAAAAAATGCAGCAGGCTTCCTTGTAGGAGAATGAGTTCCCTGTCAGTGAGATCCTTGTCAGGGAGGGACTGGGTGAGTGATCATTTATTAGAGATGCTATAGAGGAGATTGCAGGGCTGAGGATGTAGCTTAGTGGGAGAATGCTTGTCTGGTCGGCCTGAGGCTTTGGGTTCAGTTCCAGCCCTACTGTGGGGATGGGGTGGGAGGTAAAACTACTTTGTTTAGGAGTTTGGAGAATAAGAAAGACCCTACGAGTCTGTGACCATCTCAGTTGCTCCCTTTGGTGGATTCCAGAAACTTACCGTTGTTACTGTTTACAACAAAGAAGGTTTCATGGGCCCAAAGTCCTTGATGAGAGATAGGTGTGACGGGAAGGCAGCTTATGTTTTCACTGTGAATATAAAAGTAAATTATAAAAGGAATTTAGCTTAGAAGTGGTGGTTGTATAGCTGAAGGGTTAGTAAGAAAGGTTTCTAATGAAAGAAATTAGTCTTTGTTAAAAAGTTGATTGGTTAGAGAAAGATCTACCGTTGAGCTAGTGGTGCCAGTCGGAGCTTTATGGAACAAATGTAACTAAGGACTGTTGCATACTTCTTCACGGCTGCTCCGGGTATGTGTGCCCTGTGTGTATTAGGAAGGACAGTTCTTAGGTTGTTGTTGTTTTTTTTTTTTGAAACAGGCTCTTGTTAGGTAGTTTAGGTTGGCCTTGAAGATCACTGTGTGAGCTAGGAGACCTAGCTCAGTGGTACAGGCACCTGCCTGGCAAGTGTGAGATGTGAGTTCAATCCCTGGTACACACCCCCAAATCACTGTGTAGCCCATGGCGGTTTTGAACTCACAGTGGTCTTCCTGTCTCAGCCTCTCAAATGCTGAGATTACAGGTGTGCAGCCTCATGGCTGGCAGTCATTCCCACTCGTAATAGCAAGTAGCTGCGCGTTCTCTAGACAGCAGTGCTTCCTGGCTAGATGCTGTGTTCTTCCTCAGCTTAGTGTCCTTACTCCTTTCAAAGGTGGCGGAGTTTGTGGACGAGCGGCCGGAAGAGGTAAAGCAAATGGAGGCCTTTCGTTCTAGCACCAAATGGAAGCTTTTGGGAGGTGAGTTCTGGCAGCAGAGAGATCGGAATTTCCGAGTACAGAGAAGTTGTCCTTTTCTATGGTTTTCTTTTAGAATGCATAGTTTGTTTCTGTGTGTCACTGAAAACTACAGTGGGAAAAAGAACTCAGAACTTCTTCAGAAGTGGGAGGGCACAGGCAATTCCAATCCAGGTGCCCCTTCTGCCCTTAATTCTTCCATTTGGGTTTCTGAGGTGAGAAAGTGACCCAGTTGGGTCCTTTCAGCATTCATTCCTTTCCGGCTCAGCATAGGAGAGGCCTTAGAATAAAGGCAGGACTTTTGGGAGAGTTTACTATAAGCAGGAATCTGAAAGGTGTATTTAAGATGCTCTGCAAACAGACAAAGAAGTACTCTCAAGATACTCCTGAATGCTGTTGCTGCCCATAGACAAAAGAGAGCTGTGTATACCTTTGGGCTTTCTGAGTGGTCCTAAGGTGTGTGCTGCTAGGGCATCTTATGAAATTTGGGGTGCGAAGAGTGGATAGAGCATTCATGGGAATTTGACTCTTTGTTCTTTATAGATCACAGTGAAGACCCACCCTTACATAGTCATTTCCATCATGATACTCCAGATTTATCTCCCAGGAGGGCCCGTCACGACACCCCGGATCCATCACCTCCCAGAAAGGCCCGTCACGATACCCCAGATCCATCTCCTCCCAGGAGGACCCGTCACGATACCCCAGATCCATCTCCTCCCAGGAGGGCCCATCGTGAAACCCCAGATCCGTCTCCTCCCAGGAGGACACGTCACGACACGCCAGATCCATCTCCTCCCAGGAGAGGCCGTCACGACACCCCGGATCCATCTCCTCCCAGGAGGGCCCATCACAAAACTCTAGATCCGTCTCCTCCCCGGAGGGCCCGTCATAAAACCCCAGATCCGTCTCCTCCCAGGAAGGCCCGTCACAAAACCCCAGATCCATCTCCTCCCAGGAGGGCCCGTCACGACACCCCGGATCCCTCTCCTCCCAGAAAGGCCCGTCACGACACCCCGGATCTGTCTTCTCCCAGGAGGGCCCGTCATGACACCCCAGATCTGTCTCCTCCCAGGCGAACCCGTCACGACACCCCAGATCCCTCTCCTCCCAGGAGGGCCCGTCATGACACCCCGGATCTGTCTCCTCCCAGGAGGGCTCATCAAGACTCTGACACATCTCTTTCCAGGAGGGTCTGCCGTGGCTCCTCAGATGCGTTCCCCCTTAGGAAGTCTCATCATAATTCTTCAGATGTATCTCCCAGAAGAGTTCCTTGTGATTCCTCAGATGTGTCTTCCTCCAGAAGGCCTCATAGCAGTTCCTCTGACACGTCCCGACCTAGGAGGACTCTTGACTCCTCAGACACACACCATCCCAGGAGGGGCCATCATGACTCCTCTGACTTGGCCCCTGATGTTGCTCATTCATTGCCCAGAACCAAAAGTAGCAGAACCCCAGAAAGAGCCTCCTCCAAGACTTCTTCACACTGGAAGGGACCCACTCATCCGTCCCTCCTGAAGAACATCAAAAGTGAATATGACTCAGACCTCTCTCCTGCACGAAAAAAGCAAGCAAAATCCCATTTTGTAGATAAGAAGCATCTTGATTCTAAAGGTGAGCATTATAACTACAATGGGAGAGACTTAATCTCTGGAAGCTTTCCTTGGGATCTTTACTTGCTTATAAGGGGTTGAACATGAATTTCTTTGGAAAATTTTGTCAAGTGAAAGGCTGGGCTCAGCAGAATTTAAAAATTACGGTGGCAAGAAGGAAAGTTTTTATATGTCTGTATTTACCTTTCCTGCCCCAGGTAAAAATATACTAGAGGGGAGAATTAACACACAGTGAATATTTAAATTAAAATTTGTTACAGAAGAAGACACATAGGGGCTGGGGATTTAGCTCAGCGGCATAAGCGCCTGCCTTGCAAGCAGGCAGTCTTGAGTTCGATCCCTGGTGCCGATAAAAAAACGAAAAAGACCAGAAGAAGACACATCGTCATTAACCCCCGCTTAACATACTCCCCCTCATTTGAATATACTTATGCCACTGTCTGAAGCAGTTCCAGAAATTTTTTGTGAGTGTCTTTTTTATGGCTGTTTGATGCCCTTTTGTTTTCTTTTTGAGACAGAGTCTCACTATGCATTTCAGGCTGGCCTTGAATTCACTTTGTAGCCCAGGGTGGCCCTGACCTCACAGTGATCCTCCTGCCTCAGCCTCTTGAGTCCTGGGATTATAGGCGTGTGCCACGATGCCTCACTTGATGCTTTGAATCAATTCAAATTGTAGTTTCTGTCAAAAACATTATGGTGTGTCCTTACTCACTTATTCATTGGATCTGCACTGTGCAACAACTTTTTTGTTACTTTTTTACCTTTATTGGTACATTTTTGTATATGTAATGATAACACATGCAAATTCCCTGTGTCTGTACACCGTACATGATACATCTTGCTTCTTTTTCCCCATTTCTCTCCCCTCCTTTCTATCCCTCTTTTGTTCCTTATTTACAAAGGTTTTGTTTCCATTTCTTTTCTTCTATTCTTTTTTTTTCCTCTTATCTCTTCTTTGGCACTGTGCAATTTCTAGTTTTTCCTCAAAGTCAAAATGACCATGAAAGGTAAACATTTTCAATCAATTCAGGACATCAAGGATTCTTGACAGCACAACTAGACACTCACGAAAGAGCTTCTAGTTCTGCTTCATAAAATGACAGGAAAGATCAGATAAATGTGTCTGAAGCAAGGGGAGAGGAAGTACGTTAAGGGAGTGCGGCAGTGCTCTTTTACTTTCATAAATTCATATTTTTTGATCATGTTTATTTCAAAAACTTTAGACTATATGGAAATGTACATATAATGAAGAACAAAAAGTGTGGCACAACGAACTCCACTCAGCTGTTCATCTTAGGGCTGTCACAAATGTTCTTCAGCTCACTTAGGTATGTGCTGTTGATGGAGTTGACTCCTGAGTATGCCGAACACGTGTTCCCATATGTGTAATCTTTCCTTTTCACATAATTTTTAGTTCTAAAAACATCTCTGTTTAGTTTTACTTTTTTCTTTTTTGTAGTGCAGGGGGTCAAACCCAGGTCCTTGTGCACACAAGGCAAGAACTCTACCACTGAGCCACATCCCCAGCCCAACACCTCTATTTAGCATTAAGTATTTTTTTCATTTATTTTTAAATTATTTTTTATTTTAAAGAGAACAAAACAAAACAATGGGAACAGTATTGAATTTCAAAAACAACACAGTAGGAAATCAACCATAGTTACTCTCTATGTTGTTATTGCATATGTTATGCATATTGTTATTCTCTAAATAGAAGCTAAGACCACCAGACACAGGCATGCAAAGTTAGTCAGACAGCACAGGCACTATGTTGTTTCTTTACTTTACTTGCCATCATCTTAGAAATTTCAGGTTTGTAGCTTCTAATTTCCTCTATGTCTGTGTCTCCTGGACTTAATCTGAGTAAGATGTAGGCTTGCAAAATTAATTAAACACTATAAGCACTAAGTTGTCTCTTCAGTTGCAGTCATTTCAGAAATTTCAGGTGTGTGACTTCTAATTTCTTTTGTGTCAGTGTCTCCTGGACTTATTCTGGGTGGGCTGGAGGCCTGAGATTACACCCTGCTCCTTCATCTTGACGTTGTCCTATGTTCCTCTGACTCAGCTGGTTGCTGAGATGTGGGTGTTTTCTATGCAGGGTATTGGGTGACAGACCTGGGTTCCTCCGATCCGAGGTTTCTGGGATGGCAGAGGTGCAGGGCAGCAGCTCATCAATGTTTCCCTAATGGTGGCAGAACCTCAGGGATGTGGCTTTCTCTACTTTGGGCCTAGAGAGGCCACTTCTGGCTGTGTGGGAGGGTTGGGAGCATGGGCATGACTTCCTGTCTTCTGGGCCCATGAAGTGGAGGGGTGCAGCCTCTCCTCCCCTGGCCCACTGTGGCAGGCTAACCAGGGGAGGTGGCTTCTGCAGGTCCTTGGCAGCAGGTTCACAGGGATACTTGTTTTTTTCTAATGAATTGACTGTTACATTTCTAAAGTTCTCGGATGGCCCGCAGACCATCGAAAAATACCTCTTTAGTCTCTTGATTGAAACCAACAGCTTCAGAAAACTGCTGGGCTTGATTCAAGGCCAGTAGTATAAGTTTTAATGATGTTGGGTTACAAAAATTTCCTCAGTCATCTCCCTATTACATGTTTTTGATTATTTCTGCGCTTTTGTTTTTAATTCTTTTTTTTTTTTTTAAGGGTGTGGTTTCTGGAAATTGAACTCAGCATCTTGTGCAGGCACTTGTGCTGCTGAGCTGTATCTCTGGTCCTGCTTTTAATTCTTTTAGTGAACATTTTTATATGTAAGCTGTTGTCCTGATTTTGGGTTATTTCCAGTTCTGTTTCTTTAAAGAGTCCTTGGAAATTTTACTTATATATGGGTTTCCTAGAAAGCTAAGAAGTTGATTTATTAGCTCAGAAGGTGTGGATGTTTTGAGACCATTAATGCATACTACATCCTGGTGATTTGTGATCTTTTGATCTAGAATATAAGCCTTTTGCCTCATCCTTTGTTCCCAAGCACTCTTAAGTTAAAGTACTTTATTGTCTTGTTGTCTGAAGACATCAGAATATACAGTATTCTAGGTGTGTCTGAGTTGTGCCACAGATTAGAGTGCTGACTTCAAGTTGTTTTATCCATTCTGTTGTCCTGGAGAGGAGGAGGTAACTATACATAGATTAGTGTGTGGACATCTCATCTGTTCATTAGTCATTAGGGAGTAGAACCTGCGTATCCTGCCTGTAGCGTAAAAGTTGGATCTGACGTTGCTGTTCTCTCATGCCATCCATACTTGTATTGGGTTAGTGATTGTTCTTCACAGGAGGATTAAACAGATGTGCTACTTTGTGTGGAAAGTTGTAAGTGGATTAATTAATTTTTTAACCATGCTGGAAATTGAATCAAGACCTCACACTTGCTAGGCAAGCACTATACCACTGAGCTATGTCCCCCAGTCCTTGTTTACTCTTTAATTTCTAGGCTCTTCCCCCAGCCATAGGATATTTCTTACAGGCCTTTCATCTAGGAGACGTCAGTGTCACATGATGGACTCTTTCTCCCCAGGTGACTGCCAGAAAGCCTCTGATTCAGATCTTTCACCTCCACGGCGTAAACGGAGTCCAGGGCATCAGGCTTCTGATTCAGATTTGTCACCTCCAAGGAACAGACCAAGACGCCAGAGCTCCGATTCTGACCTCTCTCCCCCAAGGAGAAAACCGAGGACCAAATCTTCTGATTCAGATCTGTCTCCGCCTCGAAGGAGTCAACCTCCTGGGAAGAAGGTAGAGATATTCAGGTGTCATCTCCTTCTCTTAAGCTTTATGTAAATCCCTGAGAATCAAGCCAGAAGAGTAGGAAGCAGCTCTCACTAGTACCTTAAGTCTTAGTTAAAATGACTTTTGGAGCTGTCTCTGTAAAGGCAGCGCTGGCTATAACAGCACAGATAGACTTGCAAATGCTGGTTGAATATCCCTTACCAAGAATGCTTGAGATCAGGCTTGTTTTGGATTTTGAAATATGTGCATAGACTTCCATACGTATTTTGGGGTATGTGCGTATTAAAACCTGAAATTGAGGGGCTGGGGATTTAGCTCAGCGGCATAAGCACCTGCCTTGCAAGCAGGCGGTCGTGAGTTCGATCCCCGGTACCGATAAAAATGAAAAAAAAAAAGAAACAAAACAAAACAAAACAAAACAAAAAAAACCTGAAATTGATTATCTTCATTGTGGGGAACTGGCCCATGTACAGAATGTGTCTCTTCTTTTTCATCCCCTTTGGTCCTCTCCCTTCCCTCTGTCTCTTGTTCTTCCCTTTCTGCACAAAAGATCGATCTCTCTATTTCCTATTGTTTTTTATTGTGCTCTTTATTTATACTTTGGATTTCTCATGTGAGAGGAATCATGCGATATTTAAGCTTGGGATGTCTGATGTCTGAAACTTTTTGAACATTGTGTTAGTGCTCAAAAAGTTTCAGATTTTGGAGAATTTTGGAATTCAGACTTTTGGATTAGGGATGCTGAACCTGTACCATATTTGACAGGAGGTTCTACTTTACAACTTCATAATTCCACTAATTATGTTTTAACATATCCAGAAAAGTTTCTGGTTTTTTTTTTTTTTTTCTTTTTTCTATTAGTATACATTTGCATAACAAAATGATTGCATTCCTTTTTGGGGAGTTGTACCTAACACATCTGAATTGTTTTTTCTTCTGTTTTTCTTATCTCTTTCCTCCACATCTTGATCCCCTTCCCATTTGAAAAGATCTATCTCCCTAGTTCCTATTCTGTCTCCCTAGGTCCTTTTTTTTTTTTTAATTTTTTGTCTTTTTGAGACATAGTCTCACTATGCAGTTCAGTTCACTTGGTAGCCCAGGCTGGTCTTGGACTCACAGTGATCCTCCTGCCTGAGCCTGTGGAGTGCTGGGGTTACGGGGGTGCACCATGATGCCTGGCTGTATTTCATATTATTCATCGTTATTTTGTGCTTTATTTATATTTTGGTTTCCCATATAAGAAAACTATGTAATATATAACATTTGTATCTCATTTATTTCATTTAACATTATGGTCTCAAGGTGCAACCATTTTCTTTTTTCTTTCTTTTTTTTTTTAACTTTAACTTTTTATCGGTACCAGGGTTTGAACTCACGACCGCCTGCTTGCAAGGCAGGTGCTTATGCCGCTGAGCTAAATCCCCAGCCCGGTGCAACCATTTTCTTACAGGTGACTCAGGTTTATCCTTTGTGGCAGGGTAGTACTCTATTGTTTATGAAGACCACATTCTCTTTTTATCCCTTCATCTGTTTATACACATATAGGCTGCTTCCAAGAATCAGCTATGAATTAGACTCTTGTACACACTGGTATACTTTATCATTGAAGGAAAACTTGTTTTTTAAAGAACAAGTTGAGGACTGTCCTTTGCACTGTGGGCTTAGGGGCACAGCTGTGTGTCATACTGAATGCAGATTTGCATCCTAGTTCTGATAGTATCTGAGATTTAGGAAAGACATTTGATATCTCCTAAGGCTCTTCTTGTTCATCTGTAAAATGTGAAGAAATTTAGTTTCTATCAGATTTTTGTGAGAATACAATATGAATTAGTGTAATTAAAACAGCAAAGTGGTACAAAGTAGGCATTTGGTATTAATGATTTATTATAAATTGAACTATTGGGGCTGGGGATTAGCTCAGCGGCATAAGCGCCTGCCTTGCAAGCAGGCAGTCGTGAGTTCGATCCCCGGTACCGATAAAATAAATAAATAAATAAATAAAATAAATTGAGCTATTGGTTTCTGTATCTACAATCTAAAGAGAGGAACTTAAAATATAAAATTATTTTTACAAATTATATTGTTTGGGATGATAGTATTTTGTTTTAAATCTGTGATAAAGCTTGATGAATTGACAAAAGAAAAACACACATGAACTCTGAGTAATTACATTATAAAGAACACAAGCAGTAGTAAAGGAATGTTACTCATGAGTTGGGTGGAAGAATAGAGCCTGTGATAGCATGTTTCTTTTCAAGGCAGACCTCTCAGGTAAGTCTTATGGAGAAGGGTGTGAGAAGATTGTTCCTGGCAGCATAACCCAGCCTGTCCCTAACCCTCTTGAAGAGTAAGACCCCTGTTGTAACTGGACCCCTTGACAGTTTATGTATCCCATGCAGTCCTTGGGCAGTTTAATATATACTCCATTTATGGTTTGTGGTTTGTTTGTTGTCTTGATACAAAGTGGAGATTTGTGCCTGGCAAGTGCAAGGTCCTAAGTTTGATTCCTGGTACCGAAACAAACCAAAAAACCCAAAAAAACCAAAAAAAGTGGAGATTTGTGGAAAGTTTTCACATGGTTATGTCTTCTGTTATTATCTATATTACATGTCCTCAATTTGAAGATCTGAAGTTTGCTTAAATTTACACTTTAAATGAAATCGTCTATCTACTGGGTCTTCTAGTGGATGGCTTGGAGGTAGATACAGGTTTCCAGTGAGAGGATCTGAGAGAGTGAGTCTTCTTATGTGCAGTGTGGAAAGTCAAAAATGCAGGTGCTTAGCTCTCCCTCTATTGAACTGTTGGCTATGTGTTTCTGTTTACTTCTAAGGTGGGTAGTACTATCATATTTGCTGTGAAATTAGATTGCCGTCTTTCTGTGTTGTGAATCCTGTGGTCTATAAGAGAATAAAAGCCAGTGTTTGTGGTGTGGTTGTTGCAGACAAAAATGCAACTAACTGTAGACCCGCGGAGCCTGTTGCTGTATTGTCTCATTGATGTTGGCTGCTCCTTTCCATTGCACAGGCTGCGCACATGTATTCTGGGGCTAAAACTGAGTTGGTGCTAACTGACATACAGCAAGAACAGCAGGAGCTCAAAAAGCGGGACCAAGAAAACGTGGCCTTTGAAGGTAAAAATGGACGTGCAAGGTGGAGTCCAGCCTCCTGTCGCTTCATTCCTTTTTAATGTAGCTTATTGTACCTGATCATTTAAATTTTTAATTGCTGTCAGATCCGAGCTCTAGTGTTTAGGCATCATTTTAATCTTTCAGGAGATGTTTCTTTCCATCTTGAAAATGTCAGTTCGTAGGCCCCTACTCAATAGACACCTAAATGTTGGTAGGAACTACTTGTGATCTGGCTGCAGATATCCTAATCCACCATCAAAATCTCTGGCAGTTGGTTTCATCTGTTAAAATATTATTTATGATTTTGATCTCAGGCATTTGTCTTAAAAAAGTTTTTTCTTTCACAGCTGAATTCCAGTTTGCTGAAACTGTGTTTCGTGACAAGTCTGGTCGTAAGAGAAATTTGAAACTGGAACGTCTAGAGCAGAGGAGAAAAGCAGAGAAGGACTCGGAACGAGAAGAGCTGTATGCCCAGTGGGGCAAAGGGTAAGGGCCTCCCTGGAAGTGAAAGCAGGATTGCAGGGTCTGGGACAAGTTGCTTCTCTGCTTTTCTTCAAAGCTGTTACTAGGAATGGAGATTCAGTATTATGAGTCTCTTTTGCAAAGCTGATAGATCCTGTATTTGACATTCTGGGGATTTCACCCTTTTTAACATTTGGCGTAGGCCACTGCCAGAAAGAGGTTCTTTAAGTGTGGCATTGTGGTCCATCTCCATGTAGGAGTGAAAGCATCAAACAATGTTCTTTTTCTGCCCAGGCTTGCCCAGAGCCGGCAACAGCAACAGAATGTGGAGGACGCAATGAAGGAGATGCAGAAGCCTCTGGCCCGCTATATTGATGATGAGGATCTGGATCGGATGCTGAGAGAACAGGAAAGAGAGGGAGACCCGATGGCCAACTTTATCAAGAAAAATAAGGCCAAGGAAAACAAGAACAAGAGAGGTGAGACCGGGAGTCCCAGAGCCGGAGCTGGCTCAGTGAAGAGACTTAGCTGGTGCCGACAGGGTGCTCCCATACAGTTAAAGCTCTTTGTATTTATCTGGGGATTTGAGCTCAACTGGTAGGGATTTCTTCTATTTTTAAAATTAGTATGTGTTTGCAGTATGTAAGTTTATATTCCTTGTGAGGAGTTGGTGCATGTACGTAACACATCTTTAACTCCGTTTTCATCCCCTTTCCCTTCCCCCCTCCCTCCTCTCTCCATCTCTTGATCTCTTTCCTGACTGAGAAAGATCTACTCCCTACTTCTTATTACCTGTCCTTTGTTTTCCTCTTATACTTTGGGTTTTTTTCTTATATAGGAGAAACTGATATTTAAGCTTGTGTGTCTGATTTAATTCACATTACGATCTCAGGGTGCACACATTTTCTTAAAGATGACCCATTTACCTTTCTTTATGGCAGAGTAATACTCCATTGTATGTAAAGAACACATTTCGTTTATCCATTCATCTGTTGGTGGGCATGTAGGCTGCTTCCAAGATTTAGCTGTTAAGAATAGTGCTGCTATAAATACTGCTGGGTGTGTATGTGTAATATGGTGTCTTTAACTCAGGAAGAGACCAAGAAAGAGGACAATTAGTCAAGTGGAATTGCTAGTTTTAGTTTTTAGAGGAATCTCCATACCGACTTGTACTGTGGTTGTACTAGTTTACATTCTCTTTTTTTTGGTACTGGGGATGGAACTCAAGACTTTGTGTTTGCCAAGCAGGCGCTTATGCTGCTGAGCTAAACCCCCAGCCCCTAGTTTACATTCTTACCAACAATGTAGATGGGTTCCTTTTCCCTCCTGCAGCCTTGCCTGCATCATTTCTTTTTATTGTTCTTGATGGTGGATATTCTTTCTGGGGTAAAATACAGAAACCTTCCCCCCATCACTACCCATATCTGAATAAATTACATAAGTAACTTGTTTTTTTTCATTCCCCTCATTAGTGAGACCCCGATACAATGGCCCAGCGCCTCCTCCAAACAGATTCAATATTTGGCCTGGATATCGCTGGGATGGAGTAGACAGGTAAGGCTGCTTCCTACATTTTTTCCCCACTTTCTTTCTTCTGACCCTCACCTTCACTGCCATTCATAAACTACTCCACATTGATTTTTCTGCTGCAATCATAAGGTGAATAGCATGCTTTTCTGGGGATCAAACTCACAGCCTTGCTATTGACAGGCATCACTTATGCCACTCAGCTAAATCCCTGGCTTTTTTTTTTTTTTTGCTTTTATTCCTCCTCTTTTTGTTTCTCTTTCAAAAGCTCTGGGGCAGCAATGACAAACCTTTTAGAGCTTTTAATGTTACAAACAGCCCACTGTGGCATGTGTGTCATAGGTTTGCCACCTACTCCAGACAAACAACTGACATGGTCCAAATAGGGTTCCCTTTGTGTTTGGAGATTGGTCATTTTTAGTATTTTCTAAAGTTTGGAAGGGTTGAGTAATATGTTGTGATCTGGAGACTTCTGTTGGTTTAAAATGTGCTTGAACCATAGTTCTCTTCCTGGTTTTTGGAGTAAGTCTCAGGTAATATCTCGCAGATTCCTGCCACCTCATCCACCTACCAGGGTCTGCACCCATATACTCTAACTTCCTGTCTGTTAGGGCGGATGAAATATATTTGTTCCTACTTAGTGTCAGGCCTTCTACTCACATAGTGGGTCGCATCTCTGCCTACTAAAGAATTTTCTTGTTCTTGCATCTAGCACAGTAGTTGTCAATGGTTTTAATCTCAGGATCCTTTTACACTTTAAAAACCAAGTACTAGAAAAAGCTTTTGTTTACATGGTATATATCTATTAATATTTACCATAGAGGAACTTAAACTATGTTTAAAAAGTATTAATTTACTCTACAAAATAATAGAGCCATTACATTATTATGTTTATGATTTTTTAAATGAAAAATAACTTTTCCAAACAAAAAAATAGAAGGATGATGTTTGTCTTAGTTACTTTTCTCATTGCTCAGACAAAATACTCAATCCCCAAAGTTAAGGGAGGAAAGGTTTATTTGGCTCACATTTTGTGGACGTCTGGTCCATAATTGGTTAGCTCCAAGGCAGGGTGGCACAGGGCAAAGGGGCAACATGGCAGCTAGGGTGGCGGAAGACAGCAAAAGCAAGCGAGGGAAGAGAAGGAGAGAAGACTCTTTCTGTCCCTTATATTGTATGCAGACTACCTGCCCTGTGGCGGGTGTAGCACTCACACCTCCAGTCCCAGCACAGACAGCGAACCAATAACAAACTGGATGCAGCTGCCTCTGAAAAGCCTGCAGCATCTGACCACATGACCACATGAGGCTGTGGAGGGACATCCAAGCACAAACCATAACAATGTTGATTTTCATTTTTGCATATCTCTTTAATGTTTAGGTTAGTAGTAAATAGCTGGATTCTGCAACTGTCTATTGTGAAATATTGTTAGCTGAAGTGTAGAACAAAAATTCTGCCATATATATAGGTAGTAGAAAAAGAAGATGTGGTGTATTTGTTGATGCTATAGAAAAACTTTAAACAAGTGCTAGTTCCTTTCAGGTTAGTTAAACCATATCAAAGAACTTTTCATCTGTAAAATACTGGTTTGTTGAGTTTTTCAGACTTTCTGAATGTTGATATATTTTAATTGTATAATACCAAGAAATTCCTTTTGATAATATCATCTCTGGTTTTATTGCAAAAGTCTTTAAATAATGGGAAGGTGACAAATTCATGGTGATACATACAATTTTTCAGAATTCTCATTTATACTTGAAAACTTGAACTTTATTCCTGGCAACAAATATTGTCATTTGTTTCCTTTTATTGGTAGAGAGACTCACTTTGCACAGTCTCTTTTTATAGATCCCATCAAATTTTATATTTAGAGGATTATGCCATCTACAAATACAGATTACTTTCTTTCTTTCTGGATGCCTTTTATTTTCTTGCCCTGTTGGATTAGCTACCAGTAAAAGCAGATATCTTTGCTATCTTCCTAATCTTAGCAGGAAAACGTTCATTTTTTTTTTTTTACCATTAAATGCAAATGTTTTTTTTCCCCCTCTTCTGTAAATACCTTTATTGACTTAATGAAGTTCCCTTCTATTCCTGGTGTACTGAAATTTATCTTCTAGAAGAATATGTACCCGATTCCAAGTGTTTTTGCAGCTCAGTTTGGGGCATCGAACTCCATGAATTTCTCTTATGTACTCTAGATTTCTAAAATACAGCGTACTCCAGCCTGCGTTCACTGCTTCTCCTATTAGAAGTCTGCTGCTGCTCTTCTGCTCCAGCCTGGCTGGCTGCTCTAGTCTCATTCATGTGCTCACTCAGATTACTAACCAGTGAGGCAGACTTACTCTCCTTTGTTCTTTTGTCTAATCAGTCAGTAAGTTCTACTGGTTTTGCCTTTCATGTTATCCCTCTTGCTGTCCTTTTCCTTTATCATCTGTTGCCACAGCCTGTGCAGAGTAATCTGCCAGAGTAGTCTCTGAAATTTGGTTTATGCTTGTGCTTTTAACCCATCCTTTATGGATGAAATCAAACTTTTTACCATGTCTTAAAAAACTAAGATTGGCCTCTCCATTTTTGACTCATGGCCACTCTGGTCATCCTTAAGGTTGTAGCCCCATGAGTTTGCCTTTGGTTCCCTGCGTATACCAGCATAACTCTTGTTTCTGGGCCTTTGCTTTTATCCTTCGTGTTGTACTCTGAGCTGAAATGACTTCCTGACCCTTCTGTCCCCTGCCTGTCACCTCCATCCCTCTGGTTAAGTCACTCTTGTTTCAGATTTAGCTTAGGGTCCCTCCTGTGACTCCTGTCCTGATCATTCTTGTCTATGTGTCATGCCATCTTTTTACCATTCCTCCTCTAAGCAGAGTGAAGTCCCCATTCTGTTCTGTGATTCCCTGTGCATATTTCTGCTGTAGATTATGCCTTTTGTTTTATTATTTAAATCTCTGTCTCTCTTCTTTTTTGTCTTTTTGAGACAGGTTTTTACTATGCTGTTCAGGCTGGCCTTGAGTTCATTTTGTAACCCAGGCTAGTCCCAAACTCACAGTGATCCTCCTGCCTCAGCCTCCCGAGTACAGAGATTGCAGGCGTGCTCCACCACACTGGCTGTCTGTCTCTTTAAACAGCTCTGCTTACCTGTGAATTCATTAGGACAGGCACTGTGTCACACTTAATTTTCCCACAGTGTGTACCACAATGCTTCGTGTCCACCGAGAATTCAGTAAACATTTGTTTAATGGGTGGATAAATGTCAGATGTGAACGTCAGCTACGAGTTAGTTGGGCCTTTAGAGACTACTGAGGGTTTGATAGTTGTCAAAGAGTGGAAGAAGGGTCCAGGAAACAACTAAGAAGAACAATTATGTATTTCGACAGTTTGATTCTGTTTGCATATAGTTTAAATATGTCTTTTCTCCCTGCTCATTGTGAACTGTTCTCTTTCTTTTAAAACAAATGTGCAATGGAGGATTCTGACTGATAATTATGTCACCTCGATTACAGATCCAATGGGTTTGAACAGAAGCGCTTTGCCAGGCTTGCCAGCAAGAAGGCAGTGGAGGAGCTTGCCTACAAGTGGAGTGTTGAAGACATGTAGCTCCCGGAGGCTGTGGGTTGGGGTACATTTGCCCGTGCTAATAATTGGGGCCCTCACAGACTAGCAACTTGGTGAATGCCAGTTTTGACCACAAAGGAATACTTGAGACCTGCTCTATGGACTGAGGCACCTGCACTTCTGAAGTGTGACGGCTCTGTAGCTGGTTTCTGCAGGAAGTGGTGATTTCTGAATTCCAAGGTTTGTTTGGCTAGGGTCTTTCTTTTTCTGTTTTTAATAAATATACATTTATTTTTTTAAAGTCATTTCCTTCCTGGGTGTTGTGTTTGGGGAAGAATTTCAGCTAACATTGGTTCCCTGGGGATCTTGTGGCCAATGAATGATGATAGATTAATTTAGCTGGTAATGAGTGAAAAATTTCTCAGTCATCTTCTGAGAAAACAAGAATTAGTACTAAACTAGATTCAGCAATATTGGAGAGATGGTATGTGATAAAGATGGTGTCACCAATTAGTGGGAAGGAGACGGGTAATGGTGCTCAGAAAATTGGCTTAGTGTGTGGATGAAAATAAAGCTGGGTCCCTGCCTCATACCATGTAAACAAAACCCTAACATAATTAAGGCCCTAAGTGTGATATAACTTAGTAAAATTAGTAGGGGATTGGGGATGTAGTTCAGTGATGGACATGGGCCTAGTGTATATGAGGCCCTGAATTTGATCCCTAGTGAAAACAAAAATCAAGTAAGGCTAGTGAGAACAAATTATGATGATGTTTGTGACCTTAGGGTGATGATGGATTTCTTTACAATTCATAAGATCTGATTGCTTTGACTGTTTCATAATTAAAGCAGTTTATAGTCATAGATTAAAAAATAGAAATTACTTGGAATATTTAAAACTGACTGGGGATTGCCTGATAAGGGATTGAATATAGAAAGAACTCTTATAAATCAGAAAGAAAAAGATAACATGAAATTAAAATATACAAAAAATATGAATAGGTAAAAATCAAAAGAGAAATCCAGAGCCTAGTAAGTATAGTACCTCACTAGTAATTAAATGAAAATTAAAACACTGAGTTTCTATTTTAGTACTATTAGTTTGGCAAAGACAGTGACTGAACTCTCATAGAGTGTGAAAACTCACGGAGAAGTTTCTACTGGTTTGTCTATTTTGGAGTACAAATTGGCAAGATTAACAGAAATTAAGGATTATTTGGGAAACAATATTGTATAGTTTTTAAGAGTGAGCTCTCAAGCTATACTGCCTGAAATTGCATCTCAGCTATATCATTTGCTAGCTGCGTGACCTTTGGTAAGCATCTTAACTTCTCTGTGCCTTAGTTTATTTATCTGTGACATAGAGATAATTGTCCTGTGGGTTCATCGTAAGTTTAGAACACATTAAATGTCACAAAACTCTTAGCTGTTGATGTTAGCACTATCCCAGAGTATGGTAGCCAGGTTCAGAGTGGCCCCGTGACCCCTGCCCTCTGGTATTTGAGCTCGTGTGTAGTCCTCTCCTGTGGTGAGCAGGGCTGGCCTTTGTATCCGCCGAGGTGTTAGAGCTGTGTGACTTCTCAAGCGGAGTCATGGAAGATGCCGATGTGTCTGCCGCGTTACTTCCCTGAGCGTTCACTTGGAGGGAGCCAAACTCCATGTACGGAGGAGAGCCAGCAGCCCCAGAGAGGTCCACAGCCAACACGAGTGAGCCACCTCGGAAGGGTCCTTCGGCTCTGCTCAGCCCTTCAGATGTTTGCAGCCCTCGGCAACACTGACCACAACCTGCGGGGAGAGCCTGAGCCAGAAACACCCAGGTACGCTTGACTCAAAAAACTGTGAGGTGACATGGTTAGTATTTTTGTTTTTGAAAACAGCCTCATTGAGGTACAATTCACACAGCATCCAGTTCACTCCTTTAAAGTGTACAGCTCTCTGTGTAACGGTGTGTCAGAGGTGCAGCTGTCACCGCGGAGCCCCGCTCTCCTTTATCAGTGCATGTTTGTAGTACATTTGTCTGGGGAGGGCATGCATGTGCGTGCTACAGCTTGTCCCTCTTGTTTACTGTAGCTCACACCCCCCTCCACCTGTCCTCCTTTCCAGCCTTGGTTATTCTTAGAATTCTTCCCTCATGTGTACGCTGAATAGTGCTCATGTTTATGGAGGTACCAGGTTCCTGAGCACAGGGCATCTTAATTCTGACTTCCCCTTCCCTCGCCTGTCTCCTGGACCCCCTTCTCATGTGCAAGGGTTCCCTTGTTTTCTCTCTCGATGTTTTATTACCACAACTACTTTTTTTTTTGTCTTTTTGAGACAGGGTCTCTATGCAGTTCAGGCTGGCCTTGAGCTCACTTTGGAGCCCAGGCTGGTCTCCAACTTGCAACGATCCTCCTGCCTCAGCCTCCTGAGTGCTGGGATTACAGGCATGAGCCACCACGCCCGGCTTACCACAACTACTGTGAAGATACATTCATCACCTTGTGAATACCATTAGCAACCCCCCCCATCTCCCCCAGCCCTAGACAACTGCCAGTCTGTCTCTAGATGTATGCATGCTGAACTTTCAGATAATTTGTAAGGTTTTCAGTTTCATCCATGTTGTAATATGTGTTGCTTGCCTTTTTTATGACTGAATGATACTCCCTTGGGGGGATATACAGATTCTATTTATCCATACGTAATGTGGTGGGCATATAAGTTGTTTCCACTTTTTGGTTATTATGATTAATGCTGCCATAAACAATTCATGTACATGTTTTTGGATATATGCTTTTGTTTTTCTTGGGTATATACACTACCTAGGAGTAGAACTGTTGAGTTGTATGTAATCCTATGTTTAACTTTTCGAAGAATTGCCAGGCTGTTCCAAGTACGTTGAGAGTTTTCTGTCCGTCTTTGCCAGGACTTTTATATCTGACTTTTGATTATCACTGTCTTGGTGGAGGTGACTGTGTATCTCAATGGTGGCTTTGGTTTTCACTTTCCAAACGGTTAATGATGTGTTGAGCATTTTTGTGTGTTTTATTACTTACTCAATCATTTGCCCATTTTCGTACACATGACGTCCCAACTGTGTGATGGTTAATCTTGGTTGTCAGCTTGAGTGGACTGAGACACAGCCGTGAAGTTACTGAGGGCCCTTCTGAATGTGTTTCCACTGCCAGCTGGCACACGGGACAGTGCCCTCTGGGGGCCTTGTCCCGAGTTAGGCCGCACTCTCCAGGAGGCTGGCTGCTCAGATGGACAGAGGTGGAAGAGGAAGCACATGCAGCTCAGGCGCTGTCCGTTTTCTGGCTGCTGTGAGGTGAGCAGCTTTGCTCCTTCCTGCACAGCCTTCTGGCACAATACATTGCCACACCTCGGGCCCAGAAACGGTGGAAGCAGCCGGTGCGCAGGCGGCCTCTGAAACAGCCCGGTACACCTTTCCTTCTCCGAGTTTACTTTCCTAGGAACTTTTGTCATGGGGATGAAAAGCTGATAGGCACACACATGTATGTCATGCATCCTATGGGGGGAGCCTGCCCAAAGCCTGTGTATGTAGTACACAGCAACTCGTCTTACTAGTAAATGTCTGGAAGCTGGTGGGCACCACTGTGAACACCTTAGAATTTCAGAAGCAAAGGTAACGTGCATCAATCCTATGCTGTCTCAATAAACAGTATTTAAATATTTAGACAAAATTTTTTTCCTGATGTATGTATTTTTTGGCAGAAGATGTGAAGAATTCTTTATATGAGTCTGAGGATGTAGCTAGTGATACAGTGCTTGTCTAGCATGTGTGAGGCCCTGAGTTAGAGCCCCAGTACCAAAAACAAAACTTTTATATACAAGGACAAGTCTCTTACCAGATACATGATTTGCAAGTGTTTTCTTTTTTTTTTTGTCTTTTTCCTTTTTATCGGTACCGGGGATCGAACTCACGACTGCCTGCTTGCAAGGCAGGCGCTTATGCCGCTGAGCTAAATCCCCAGCCCCGCAAGTGTTTTCTTTTATTCTTGAGTTGTTGATGGTTTTTAAGCCTATACAGTTCTTAGATAATTTGCATTTAGGGTAGGGTATTATGTTATACCATAGTATATAACTAAAATATATCAAAGCAGATCCTGGCTATACCCTGAGAAACATATACAAGCTCTAAGTAATGTATAAGTATGTTCATGGATAGAAGAAACTAGCAACAACTCAGATAGCCATCACTAAGGGATGATAACTGAAATGTTATATGGGCATATATATCGTGGTATTATTTTTTAAAGTCAGATGTAAACTGTTAGGAACTTACTGACACAATAGACTTAGAGATGAACAAAATACAGCAAAAATCAGCTATGTAGATCAAATACAGTTGGGCGTGATGGCACACACCTCTGTAATCTCAGCAATGGCAGGCTGAGGCAGGAGGATGGCAAGTTTGAGCCCAGTCTGGGCAACTCAGTGAGGCAGTGTCTAAAAGGTTAAAAAGGGTTGAGGTGAGCTCAGTGAGGAGGGTTAATACCACAAACAACAAAACAAACACTAAATGACTATTTTTGGGTGCTGTGGGCTGACCCCAGGACCTCACTTATGCTAGGTGAGCTTTCCACCCACTGAGCCGGGCATGGGAACATGAGTTTTAAGGGTGAACTGACTAGAATAGGGTCTGGGGAAGAACAGGACTAGAATGGAGAGTGAAGGGGAAGGCAAAGATCGGCCTGGAGGGAGGTGTGTGTAGAGCTGGTATTCGTGAGGTGGGAGAGCCCACTTTAATAAGAGCTCAAAGTAAACTGAGACCCCACAGTCAGCACTTCACAGAGCTGGGTGTAAAACCTAGCGGGTTTTTTAAATGTGCATGGCTTGTCCTTTTATTCCTTGCTAAAAACTTTTTGCAGTAACTTACATTTTTTATTAGTACATTTTAGATATATATATATATATAATGCGACCTTCCTTCACATGGAATTTGGTGATACATCTTGCTTCTTTCTTTTCCCGCTCCCCTCCCTGCTTCCCCTCATTTATAAAAGGTTTGTTTCCATTTTTGCCTTCTGTTCTCTTTTTGGAAAGCTTTAAAGGTCCAAAATAGCTGGGTGGAGTGGTGTATACTGTAGTCCCAGTACGCTGGGGGGCTGAGGCAGGAGGATTGCAAGTCTGAGCCCAGCCTGGAGAACTGAATGCTTTAGTGAGACCTTTGGGTGCTGTTTCCAAATGAAAAGATAAAAAAAAGTGGGGCTGGGACCGAGCTCTGTGTGAAGTTCCTCAGTTCAGTCCCCAGTACCACGGGGCAAGTGGGGGACAGGAGGAAGCTTAGGCAACAATGAAGCTGTTA